CCGCGGGCTCCTGCTTCTCTCTCTTTTTTTTTCCTCCCAGGCGGAAAATCTGCTGCATCAGCTGCAAGAGAATTTTCAAGCTCTGACTGAAAAGATAACGCTGAGAAATATCCTCTTCCGAAGCCGGGCCACTAGCTCCGCGGGAGAGGCGTCGTGCTCTACGGCCCCGCTTCCTCCGCTGGACCGGGCTTGGTGTCCCCCCGGCGCGCTGATGTAGCGAGGGGCTTTGCTTTTTAACATCGGGATGCGCTTTTCTCCTAAACATCAAATTAAGCTATAATGGTTGACGTTCTTAAACGCCTGTGATGCAAAGACAGGTGAATTGCCCCCCAAGCCCGCTTATTTTTCCCTTACTAAGAAGGAAATCCTAAAAAAAGGTGTTACTAAAAGTAGCATCAACTCCCAGTGAGCTGGTCTCTGTGCGGCAATTCTTGCTTTCAAGTAAAATACGCAACAAATTATGCGTAAAGATTCTGAAGGCACATTAAAAAAGCAACCATCTTCAAAAATGCCACTGAAATCAGTGTAGCACTGCATGTCGTTGCTTTAAAAGCAACCGTTAGCCTCCCGAGCGTGGGAAGGTGAGCCCTCAAAAAGAGAAATTAAGACCTGAAGGGGCTCCGAGCTTTCTCATTAGATGTATTTACGGAAACTACCTCTGCTTTCTGAAACTGTGAATTTATTAAATTTTCCATTTTCTTCTGAAACTTGACCTTTCAGGAAGCGGCGGCTTTAGTGTAAGAGAAGAAGAATGTTTTAGCAACCTGATTGTGTAGGTATCACCTAAAATAGTTCCTCGGCAAGAAAACAATCTCTTACGCAGAAAATACTCCAATTCACTCATGGGCGTGCAGGAAGGCATTTGAAAATATTTACAACTTGAATGCTTCTCTGTTGCAAGAGAAAGTGGGATTGTCTTGTAACTATACAACTTTGTGCATGCTTCACCGAATGTTTTAGTAACCTGATTGTGTAGGTATCACCTAAAATAGTTCCTCGGCAAGAAAACAATCTCTTACGCAGAAAATACTCCAATTCACTCATGGGCGTGCAGGAAGGCATTTGAAAATATTTACAACTTGAATGCTTCTCTGTTGCAAGAGAAAGTGGGATTGTCTTGTAACTATACAACTTTGTGCATGCTTCACCTTGCGTTAAACATAGACTAAGTAAGGGGCTGAGACACCTGGAAGAAAGCTTCTTGTTATTCTCACAGAAGGAAAAAAACTATTAAGTTACATTATTCTTAAGTTATCTTTAACTTTTTACTGGAAGAAATGGGCGAGCGCATTGATGACCTTGAGAAGCATGTTGCTGACCTGATGACAGAGGCTGGGATAGAAAACACCGATGAAGAGTTGAGAGTAAAGAAACTTAATTTTCACTGTATGTATTTCCACTTAGTTTTGCACTATGGACAGCACCTAGCATGAAAATATTGTTTATATAGTTATCATACCTGCATTTCCTCAGATTTATAGAGTATACTGAGATTATTTCTTTTTTAAATATTTAAAATGACCTTGGATTTCTTTTTGCCAGGAGCCAAAGAATGCTACCGGTTTTTCTAAAGAAAAACTGGAGCTTGATGCATCTGTTCCACCGAGTGCCACATACAAGGGGTAGCACAAACCAATTCTGAATATGTAAACTGAGGCTGTACATTTGTAATAAAATGCGTGTGGCTTAAAGCACTCCCGCCCACCATTCCATCCCTCAGGTGTGCTAACCTAGCTGACTGAGAATTCTCACTGGTATAAAATTTATGTACATCTGCTTTTAAACCTGCTTCAGCTTCCCAACATGGCTCAGAGCACGCCTCTTCGATACACTCACCCCGCACACAGCAGTTGTTTTGTTCTTGCAGCAGTAAGATGGGGGATGGAAAGAGCAAGGATAACTTTTAGTAGTATTGTCAAACACTCTGTAATATAAAATCATGCTACGGTTCAGGGTTGCGTGCGAGATTTTATATCGCTATCTGTTGCAAATGCCACCCCCCCGTCCTGATGGATACCTTAGTCAGTGTTCTTGGTATTTACGAGACAGCATTGCTTCCGTGTTCTGTGGGTGCGGGTGATGTCGTCTTCCTGGTGTTACACGCTTTCCTGATTCAAACTGAGACACATCAATTATTTTTGTCATTTAGAGACTGCCTACCCAGTGAAAGACAGGAACACCTGTAAATATATTGAAGTAATTTAGGCAACTATTCGTTCTGATGCCTTTTTTGTGATAAGCCATGTAGTAATTTTCAGAAATACAGAAAGACAATCCATGAAGATGTATTTAACTGTACAGAGAACTTCCTATTTTTATGCTGAATCACATTCATGAATAATTAAACCACTAACCTACTTATTCACTGTTTCTTTGCAGCACTGAAATGAGGACGTGACCAAGAAAGATAAAGGGAGAACAGCACCGCACTGAATCTGGGAGTTTACAATCAGTGTCACTAGTCACAAAAAGCGTCAGTGAAAACAAACACACTTGCATCATGTCACAACAGAATCTCAAATTTATTTTTTTTTTTTTTTAAACTATTTCAAAAGGAGAAAAAGTAGAAAGCTGGGTTTACTTGTCTAAATGGGACACTATTTCCTGTAATTGGGAAAGAACTACTAGTTTCAGGTTGAATCTGGGAGTTTACAATCAGTGTCACTAGTCACAAAAAGCGTCAGTGAAAACAAACACACTTGCATCATGTCACAACAGAATCTCAAATTTATTTATTTATTTTTTTTAAACTATTGCCCCAGGAAAAAAAGTAGAAAGCTGGGTTTACTTGTCTAAATGGGACACTATTTCCTGTAATTGGGAAAGAACTACTAGTTTCAGGGGAGGCAAAACCACTATTTTGGACAGAAAACTATATCCTATGTAGTGAACTTACCCAGTCGCAAACTTTTTCAATGTATGAAAATGTATGTCATTTATTTTAATAATATTAAAATTTTCAACGTATTTCTTTGTTGCCTTTTTAACTTAAATGTTCTCAGAATAGTAAGATCCTTCTATGACAAAACTTTTCCATTTGCTTGTGCCATTTTGATGCTGCTTTAAATCTTTTACATTACAAAATAACATCTTATTTGACGTTATTACAAAGGTGCCTTTGCAAAACTTCATAGGTCCAATGAACATAAACTGTTCTGCACTGAAAGCAACGGCAGTATTTGCAGAGATTACAGCTGTTCAGCTGTTACTCTTTCCACAAGCCCACCCAAAGCTGTGCACACCTGCACAGGTGACATCATCCAGGTATGCATACTGTGCCAATTTCAGTTCTTCAACATTAGCCATTTTGATGAAAGAGCCTAAAGACTTTGAGATAGATAGGAATTCTAGTTACCAAACATGTCCCAAACAAGACGTGCCAGAGTCAAAGAAAACAGGACATCTGCACTAAGTTTAAGGTTCTTGTACACCAAAACATTGGCCCTTCTGGCAGGAAAGATTTTGTTTGAAACTTAACCGGAACCTCTTACAACAAATGCAGAAATTGAAGCATTACCAGGTAAATAGAATACCTCAGCTAATGCAGGATAACAGGACATCCACTAAGTTTAAGGTTCTTGTACACCAAAACATTGGCCCTTCTGGCAGGAAAGATTTTGTTTGAAACCGGAACCTCTTACAACAAATGCAGAAATTGAAGCATTACCAGGTAAATAGAATACCTCACCTCATGAAGGATAAATATGCTTTTTAAAACTTTGGCAGGTGTTAATACTTGTCATCTCTTATAGATTTTTCAGCAATTAATATCAATTAATTATCATTTAATTACCAATTGTCAATTAATATCATTGATTAATATAAAGAAAACATGCTAATCAATGCTTTAATCAGTGTAGATTTGCAAGCAATGTCAAACTGGGGGGAGAGGGTGCTATGCTAGAGGACAGGCTGGAGAAATGGGCCAACAGGAACCTCATGAAGTTCAAAGGCAAATGCCAAGCCTCACCCCTAAGGATGGAGATTCCTCAGCCTTTCTGGAAAGCCTGTTCTGCTGCTTGAGCACCCTCATAGTTGAAAAAAAGAGTTCCTTGCATCTGGCTGGAATTTCCTGTCTTCTGGCTTGTGTCTATTAGCTCTCTCGTGTAAAACACCTCCAACAAGAGTCTAACTGTTCCCCATGCTCAGCCATGGGGTAGTTGTAAGCCAGAAAGCAAGCCTTAGCCTTTTCTTAAGGCTGAACCAATAGAATTCTCTCAAAGCCTCGTATGCTTTGTGCTCCACCGTATCTTGGTGGCTCTCTGTTTAACTGCCGCATAACAATGTATTTCTTGAACTGGGGAGCCCCAAAAAAGACACAGTATTCTGGGTGTGGTCTGACAGGAGTTGAGTAGAAGGGAATGACCTGCTGGCTCTGCTGGTGCTAATACTGAGCAGTGTGTGGCTGCAGCCTTTGTTGCCAGGGCACCCTGCTGACTTTCAGCTCCTCCACCAGACCCCACTCCTTTCCTGCGAAGCTGCATGCCAGCCAGCCCCTCACAACTGCACCGCAGCATAAGCTTACCCTCTCCTAGGGGCGAGGCTTGGCATTTGCCTTTGAACTTCATGAGGTTCCTGTTGGCCCATTTCTCCAGCCTGTCCTCTAGCATAGCACCCTCTCCCCCCAGTTTGACATTGCTTGCAAATCTACACTGATTAAAGCATTGATTAGCATGTTTTCTTTATATTAATCAATGATATTAATTGACAATTGGTAATTAAATGATAATTGATATTAATTGCTGAAGAATCTGTAAGAGATGACAAGTATTAACACCTGCCAAAGTTTTAAAAAGCATATTTATCCTTCATTAGCTGGATGACAAGTTTAACACCTGCCAAAGTTTTAAAAAGCATATTTATCCTTCATTAGCTGAGGTATTCTATTTACCTGGTAATGCTTCAATTTCTGCATTTGTTGTAAGAGGTTCCTGTTAAGTTTCAAACAAAATCTTTCCTGCCAAAAGGGCCAATACTCAACACTGGACAGTCCTGAGCAACCTGATCAAGTGGGACCTACTTTGGGAGGCTGGACTAGACCTCCAATGGTCCCTTCCAACATAAATTATTCCATAATTAATAACCACTGTAAACCAGGTCAATTTAATTTTACTTTCTTTACTCATTCTAAATCCTCTAAAACACCCAGATGGTAAAAAAGCATATTCCACTTTGTCTTGTGACAAACTGGACCAGAAGTACAGGTATCTCCTCTCTGCGTAGTCTGGCTTGTTTTTTCTTAATCCTGTAAATATGCATGTGTCAGTTTAAAAAAAAAAAACAAAACCAAAAACCCACACAACACTGGCTCCATTACTGCAGAACAAAAGTTGTCAGAAACGCAAATGGAAACTTCAAAAGCCATGCCACAGTGGAATCCAATCCAAGTCTCATGAGTATATGTGCATTTTAGTATACCTTTAGGCAAACTGGAGGTCAAATGAGAGAAAGCGCAGCTCATCCTTTCTTCAACTGTTGACTGTGCAGCCAGCTCCAGAACTCCAATTACCCTTTGGCACTGCAGAATCTACTAAGTACTTCAGACTGAGTACTGTGTGCATAATCACCGTGAAAAAGAAGTCCATCGCCACAAGTCAATTAACTTGTTGGGGAGGGAAGTCATGGAAGGTATTTTCTCCAAGTTCTGCTAAATATTAATAAATGCACTTTAGTGTTTTCTTCCTATTTTTAGTGGATACAGAACACCAAGATACTATGCAAGGAAATCCTGACAGAAGTGATAAGCCTTCATCTTCAACATGACGACTTTGCATCCAATTACATTTGTTTTCATTCTCAAATTTAATTATCTAAAGAAAATTGAGGTAAATAAGTGAAACTCATTTTATTCTTTTAAAAAAGCTATCGTATAGTTTTCCCACATATTTGTGTAACAAAAGCAAACAGAAACAGTTGAAAAGTTTTTCTGCAAACAGGCTTTTTGTGTACAAAAATACATCATGCCCAAAGGACAACACAAAGTCTTTAAAAAATAAAAATAAAAAAACAATCCAAAATTAATCTCTAGTATAACTGCAGTCAGACAGTTCCAGGCTTTGTGTCTTTTACTTTTCCAAACGGAATTCAAACCTTTTAAATAATTCAAAATATGCTCGAAGTTGAAGGATTTGTAGGGTTTTTTTTGTTTTTTATATATATATGTACACAACAATAAATTTAAGTGGACATAGGGTTAAAAAAAAGGCAGCCCCAAAGAAATGTCAGTATCTGTATTTAGTGGAATAATCTTTTGGCGATACCACCAAACCTCGACCTTTGCGGGCTCCTCTATAAACAGTTTCTATAATGTCAATCATCTCTTGCTTATCTTCCATTGCCCAGTTGATCTTGTTGTTATTACCTGTACCTAAATCAATCATGATGTGTTTGTTTCTTTAAAGGGAGAGAAAAAAAACCAGACAAGTTAATATGGTATTATAACTCAGAAAGAAACTTTATATCCCCCACAAGAATGCTTTGTAGGATTCAAAAGAAGCCCTTATAACATAAACAGGCTTGCAAAATACGCCTCAAAGAAAGAGTACCCACTCCTGCCACTAAAGTTGACATTTTACTGCCTATTTCTAAAGCTAGAACAAACACTGCAAACATGCCCCCAAGATTGCTACTCAGTACAATTATCCTTCAGCATATTCCTCATTGTTTGTATTTCTTTCCCACTACTGTCTAACACCAGACGGAGTTCCACGCTTGCCAGTAGCACATTTTAGCTCATCAATGTAGACACCTTAGCTCCAAAAAAACTTAATACTTTGAGTATATCTTTAAAGCAAGTTTGACAAGCTTGGCTGCTGTATTACTGCAATATTCTATATAGGGAGTTTCAGATTTAAAACTAAAGACAATGGATAATAAAAACAGTTTTCACTATCACTAATTTTTACTCTATTATCAAAACAGCTACTTGGAAAACAAGCCATTTTCCTATTTAATCAGTTTATTCTTTTGTAGAGCAATGAAAAGACAAGCATCAGTATGCTAACATGCATTTAGAAATGATCTACTGAGACACTGTATTTGACACACAAAAAATTTAGCTGAGTTACATTCTAGAACCATCATGTACCTGAAGAAAAACATGACGGTACAGGGATCGTACAACTCGTACATCTTGTTGAAGTCTGGTACTTCAGTGATATCCACAAGATAAATAACAGCAAAGTTTTTTACCTGAACAGAAGAAAACAGGAATTATAAAAGCAATATATATTACCAAGCCCTTGATTATTTGTATTACCAATTAAAAGGCATAAGCTTTCATTATTGCAACATTTATTTTCCAAAATATTAAGTCATAAAATCACAGTAAACAGTCTTGCCATTATTTTTAACCACAACGACGAATTATCATGGAAAATATTTTTAAAAATAGCCAAGATGCTCATTTCACATCCAGTATCAACTGGAAAGATACTATGCTAAATCAACATCCAGAGAACCAAATGCCCTTTATATGCAACTGAGACCTCACAGTGATGTGCACAGC